GAAAAGCTTGACCAAGAGACATGTTTTGTAAGTTAAGACAGCAAGAAAGACCATAAGGTTTTGCTGGAAGAAGATGAACACGAGGTGAGACAAATAAGGCTGGAGGTCTCACTTTCTGCAGTGGATATCGATAAATTCATGCTGTCTATACTCGCAAAATAAAATTTTCATCATCGTATGTTCATATAAACAAAAATCTGCAAGCATTTCTGAATATTATATACAAAGAGATTTATTTCAGAATGCAAACCAACTACACATCCACCCCATGTCATTGTGTTCAGTTCAAGTCACAACTGAACACAGAAGAAATAAGGGTATGGTCAATTAGGTACTAAGACCCCTCTTAGTTCAATGTAGTTTTTTTTCTTTCATTATCAAATAGAAGCTTGATAAACTCCAAATCTATAAAATCATCCTTACACATGAAAAACTAATTGCCATTAACAGCACTCACCTATGGACAGATCACTGAAATCGAGGATGAAGCTAGGACGCCATGATTTTTCCTCTCCTGTTCCATTATTGCTGCCATTCACATAATCATTATTGACCAGGTCAGGCTTCATTTGGATATTGTCATCCATTATATCTGAGTGTATCCAAGTGAAAGATTTAGAAACATCCAGCAAGCCATTGTCATCCTAAAACAAAACAGAGAAAGTAATGAAGTGGACATGTATGACTTTATTTTACATAATTATACGAATAATAGCATAAATGAGCAATGGGAAAAGATGCCAGATTAAAGGTTAAGAGCTAAGAGATCACCTTAAACATAGTAAAAAACTTCGAAAAGTCATTGGGGATGTATTCATCAACTTTCTCTATCAGTATACTGGGAATAGGATCACCCCTACAAATTGCAAGAGGTTGTAAGATGAAAAAGTTAATAAAACTTAAACATGGAGAAATAAGGGGTTGACTTGATGGGTGACATATGGTTCACTTGTTTGCTTCCCACTCTGCTTTCTCACTAGATCAGTGTAACACAAAGGGAAAATTCAACTGAGTTTCTTAAGAAACAAGAAGCTCGAGTATTTCAACTTTCATGTTTCATAGTTTCAATTTGATGAAGAACATGGAGTGGGCCTTGGTGCAATGGTAAGGTAAGGTTGTTCCATTGTGACCTAGCATCAAGGGTTCTAGTCCCAGAGACAACCTCTCTACATTGGACCACCTTTTTTATTTGATGAAGAACATAGTCTATCAATACACATACCAACTGACAGAATGACAAGAACTAAGAAGTTCGACCAATGGTGGACACCTTTCTCAAAAGAGATGGGCACTGCAGCTACAAAAATTGCTGCAGTCTGGAAGTAGCCCAGTGAGCAAAGCCAGTATCACAACTGGGGCTGGTTATGGGTCACAAAAAAAATGGGCCAGAGGCCTGGGGCTGGACACCTTTTTCAGTAGTTTAATGCCTATCATTTTTTATACCTCAAAAGGTAAAATTTTAAAAGTAATATATTATATTCTAAAATGCATTGTTCTGGGCCGGGCTGACTGCAGGCCAAAAACACCTTTGCCCGGAATAGTGATGGGTCTGGGCCGGGCAAGCCATGCCCACTTCTAATCACAGGCACGTCCTAACTATTAGGGTGCTTATGTTTAAAAGGCTATTGATTCCCGAACTTAATATGAATGGCACAGATCTGAGGCATGCATAAAAAATCTTTCTGGCTACATAGGGTGTCCATGTCTTTTTCCAATGACTAGGAGAAACTCCAGTCAGCAAGTCCTTCTCTCTTACCCAGTTTAATAAAATTCTGCCCACCAAGTTACCATATAAAAAACTGCTTCTGTAACTTTATCCATGTGGAAATTGTTGCGGCTAGCGGACAAGGAAATAGAAATACAAATACCTCACAGAGGATACTGAATGTCTGACATGTTGGTCTCCAAAATTGAATTCATATATCAAATACTGACACCAGCAGGACAAAGGTATTATACCATGAAAACCAAAAAAGGCTAAAGAAGTTTCCTTGTCACAGTGGAGTATATCCAAAAACCATTTACCTGACACTTAATATCAAAATTCTTCAAGATAACATGAACCTACCATTTAGTCAACCGATTAGAAACATCCTTTTTCCTCCCATTCAGAGTTCTGATGAAAAGTAACCATTCTGCTGGAATGCTCACTTCATCAGCGCCATCCACCACAGACCTTTTACCACGTGGTAGCTCTTTTCTATATTCACTATCTGAGCTGGTCAAAAAATTTAAAGATGGACAGGGCAAAAGATGTAGGTGACGCAGCTGTTCTCCCAGAAAGGAAGCCAATTTTAGAATGTTCTCCCATGAGAGGGTATCTCGTCTGGAAAGGGAAATAACAAAAGTCGAAGATAGTTACAGAACTGTACATATAATTATTTTACTGCATAAAAAAGGACACGTTGTGAACAGTCTGCATTTGAAGTCAAAAAAAATGATGGACAACTTACAGTTCAGCAAATATTTTTCCTTCACATCTTTTTGTCACAATATAAGGCCAAATTCTTGAGCATCCAGCAGAACCTATTGATTCGTGTATTGACATCCCAGCTTTCTTATATTCAAATTGTTTTTTGCTCCATATACCAAAAGGATAATCAACTTCTTTACAATTTTCTGGAATGAAGTTATGGTTGGCAAACACATAAGGAACTCCTTTGCCATCCCAAGATGCAACCGTATATGACCCATTTTCAGAAAAGATAAACCCACTTGCCACAACACCAGGAATGTGATTTTTCAGTGGAGAGTCAAGTTTATGCAGTAGACCATAAAACTCAAGCTGTAAAGATACAATTCAAAGTTCATAAGATACATTTGAATAAAGTCGGGAAACCACTTCAAGGAACAAAATCAAGAGAAATAAGACAATACCTCGGTGCCTAAAGCATAAAAAGAAGCTTCTGTCCCTCGTTCAACAAATATTTTTATTACATTGTCACAAACGAGGTAGACCTGTTCAAGAAACATAGAACAAGTTAACAGACTGTTCATTGTAAAAGGACATTTCGCCAGGAATAGAACCAGTTGTTGCTTTCAAGATCTGCATTTTGATTCTGTCTCCTGTTATGCCATTCTAGTAAACATCTAACCCAAATTGTGGCGAGGAAATTTAGTTTAATACACTACATGAAGGCATATCCTTTTTTTGATATTAACCATTGCTATATCAAATTCACTCCTTTGATCGATAAACCAATTTCATTTCTAAAGATCTTTTCAAATTATGAACAGGAAACAGAGGAGATGCAACAAATGATTCAGAAGTTTCTGATTCGAACTGCTAAAGCATTCATGTGATGCTAACCCCGGATGCATTCAAAGGGAAAAACACCTGAGAGAAAGGGAATGACACCAGTGTGTCTAGCATTCAAATAGCATTACTTGTCAATCTTTGGAGAACCATGACTCATAACATAAAACTCACTTACAGGATTGCTACCCGTGCCAACAGGAAGCCTCTCATCATCAGTGGGTAACGGCAACTCATGAAAGGCACAAATATTTTCCATGCATTCAGACCATTTGCCCGCATTTAGAACAAGGCAGGCTCCCTGGGCCATTTCAAAAACATTAATCAGAGCAATATTACCAAAACAATGAGAGATACTAGCGCACACAATTAAATCATGAGCATAAATAAGGGTAACTGGGTTGCTGACCATATGAACCAAAAGGGCTCTGTCAAGGTGGACAGCCTTGACAAAGAATCTACTCCTTAATTACCCAAAACAATCAATTATTGACATACTGATTGTTACCAAAAATAGACTGGATTTGACAGTTCATTAAAAAGTAGGTTAGATAAGAAGAATTTTATATGTCACGATTGGCCCTGCTTCCCACGTGGGGCCGGAGGGTAAGGAGTGGGGAAGGGAGTGAGGAAGGAAGAGAGAGGCAGTCCACTCAAGGTCAACTGGACCTGCGAGATACCTATGTATAAGTGAAGCTCCAATTTATCACAATGTTGTAGGGCATTACTAACCACGAAAATGGGCCTTTTTTCAGTCTTTGTAATTTTAAATTGTTTGCTTTTCTTAAATTAAAGGAACCAACAAGAAGATGAGTCGTGAACATCAAGAAGAAGCTAACAAGAAGGAATACCTTCCATATTAGGTCTCTGAGTCCAGGTTTCCCAACCCAAAGCTTCCATAACCATTCTCTCAATTCTCGTTCTCCTATGCAATTGCCTGAGCTCCATAAAGAATTGTAGTGGTCCCTCTCTCTATCCAAAAACGTCGCCAAGAAATTTATATCATAAGAAAATTCCTGATCATACAATCTGTAACTTTTTGAAGCATCATTTCTGGCATTTTCACTGTTTGGATCTTCTACAGCAGGTTCACAAATTCTGACCCTCTTCTCTTTCCTAGTCAGGTCTGAGTAGCATAAATTATCTTCCATGCACAATGTATTCATTTTGGCATCCTCAAAACTGCTTTCATCAACAGCAAGTAATCCAGCACGGCAGACTCCTTTATGTCGATAGCCAGGAGCCATATCCAGACATACAAATTCAAAGTTTTTGGAACTCACAAAATTCTGCGTAACAGCAACAGTTGTCTCCAGATTAAGCACACAGTGCCACCATCCACTTGGAACAAATATGGTCTCGCCAGGTAGCTGGGTACACTCTATAGGCTTGTCTTTGTCAGCAAGAAGTGGATAAAAATCGAGCCACCACTGAGCAAACAGAACAGAATATGGTAGAATGTCAACTGAAAAAGTGCGCAAAAAAAAGTAAAAACCCATTACAATAAACTAGCATAGGTAGCCGTGGCTTTATATGTCAAAATAAGATACCTGCAATGATGATGGAGTCTCAATATTGACATCACCATCTTCTTCATTTACATGTACTGTCACACCTAAAGGTACCTTTCCAGGAGGATACAATGCCCACCTAGCCGAAAAAAATTGAGACATTGCCTTTTAGATATCAACTATTTGAAATATCTTGAAGCATAGAAACAGTAAATACCTGTAAGCAGTTAATGATACAAATCCCCCGTACATTATAGCGGATAAATTAGTAGATGCCATGACAGTTACATAGATAAACCATATTTTGATAAATAGCAGAAAAGGTCCACCTATTATCGGTGAAGTATTACGCTTCAGGTCTACAGTTCAAGGTTAAACTTTGGAGCACATACATCCCACATTAGGGAGGATTTTCTAGTGAGCAGGGTTAACAATATCTAACTAATCCTACATACCATTAACCTATGCATGGACATGTAATTGTGTATGTGTGTGCATTTTCTTCTCTCTTTTTCTTTTGTAAGACATCACATATTAGAGTGCTACAAAACCCAAAAATGACAGGCTGCACATTTTGAACCCAGACCGCTGCCCAGCCCAAGCAACCAGTGTTCCCATTACTAAAAAAGACCAGAACACCAATGCCATTTACCTTATACATGTGCATGCTGGACAAGGTTTTTTTCTCTCTCTACTAGAGTACCAGTGGGTTGAGTTGTTCAATCCAAGCCCAAGAGTTCAACACAATGGCCCAAGCCCATAGCAAACTGAGCTACCCAGACTGAGTTTTATTGCTTAGGATAAGTCAGTAAGGTCAAGCAAGCAAAATTGCCCAATATGCAACCTAGGTCCAAGCTTCCCTTTTCCTTTATTTTCTACAATGGGCATGGCTTTGATCCAAGCTTTACGCTATTTAATTTTCTGAGCCTATAATCTTGTACCGCATAAATATAAACTCATTCTATGCAGTAACTGCATTATGGATGTACAAGTATGGGAACCAATGTCATGCAGTTTTGGCAAGGCCGGCCTCTTTGGAGATACTGCACCTAATGATGAAATGCTTAATTGCTACATGCTCAAAAGGAGGAAAGAAAAAGTAAGAGATTAAACACCAAATCTCATTAACTCGGACAGACTAAATCAGCAAAACACCTTGAAACTTGTAAAGATATTTTTTTTTTTAATTTCTTCAAGCTTCTCTGTTTCTTGTAAGCAAGCAACATAGGCAGCGAACAACCAACCACTTAAGCTTAAGCAGTAATAGGTTACAGATATATCAGGAACAGCACATTTAATATGCTAGGACCAATATGTCATTATTAGATGTACCTTTTCCGGCCATAGAGAAGAGTATTCCAAGCACTGGTAAGAGCAGGATCTACATGCCAAGAGGCACCAGACCTCTCTGGACCGATGATGAGCCATCTAAAAGGGGGTCGTTGATCTCTATCTAATACATCGAAAAAATCTTCCTGAAATATATGAGGCACCATGTAATCCTTCAACAAACCTGGAGCAGCTTCCCCAAACTGCATGAATTGCAAGTCAGAGTAGTTCACAACTTTTGAATGAAAATCGCAATGTTACAAGCAAGGTACCTTGTCATCAAAAATATAGAGGGGATCCTCATCATGCTGCATTTGCATGTACGAGACATAATCCTTGAGTTTCATATTAATTTTCCGAGAACTCCTCTGAGATATTCTAAATGCTGTGTCTCCATAGTTCAGCAATAGCTGTTCAGTTGTCCATGTCTTCCTCGCTGGCCAAGTATCAGTCAATCCAGAAATCAAAACCTGGTGTAGAGTTCAGCCATAATCCATGTGAAGCAAAATAAGGGGAAAAAAAAATACTTCACTGGTCATGAATAACCTAGCTCATGAAAGAACACCAACTAAATATAGCAAAGCGGTAAATGGTAAGGGTCTTTTCCCTCTTTTTTATAACCTTCCTGGTTGGGGGGGAAGGGGAGAAGGGGAGAAGGGGAGAAGCTGGGTTTGAATAATGAGATCAATACAATAACATCAATCAAAAATCACAAACAAGTGCACAATATACACCTATACAATATAAGAAATGTCCACATATGAAGTCATTATTCAGGTAGATATGAAAATCCCAATGGAGAAAGGGGAATATAGTAAAAAACAAAGGAAATGAAAAGAAAAGGCAAAGGTTAATATTATTCAAGTGCACAAAACTTTTGCCCATAATGGGGTCTGGGAGAGGTAAGCAGTAGCCAACCCTACCCTCATTTTGAATAGATTGATTCTAGACTCGAACTAGCAACATATCACTAAGCCGGATGATCACTTGTCATCTCTCTATGACCAACCACCAGCTAAATAATATTCGTTTAAAAAAAAAAGCATTAGATAATACAGCTGAAAAATAAAACACATTGGACCATAATATGGCGTACAACATCAATGTAAAATAGCATAGATGTTATGTCCACCAATCCATTTTGATTCAATTCTTTGATTTCAAGGTTGAACAACTAAACCACATACCGGTTTTTGTCCATCATACTCGATATGAAACTCCTCCAAAGAGAGGTTTTTCTTTCTTTCCACATTTCCGCTATCAAAACAGAATCCATCCAACGTGGTATAACACCGGTATAATCTTCTATGCAGATATAAAGAGTTAAACCCTGCAGAGGGTAAAAACATCATCACCTTTAGTACGAGCTCTACAAACATTGAATAGAAGCAAAAAAAAACTAGGCATGAAATCCCTTACCGTCAAAGTGCAGTGGTTTTCTGCAGCATTTTTCATATTCATCTGGCTGATCCAGTCTGCAGCCGGAAGAAACAATAAGGGACAAAACTGATTATCTTTTCAGATTTTCAAAGGAAATTTTTCCAGGGCCACACACATGAAAATAAGTCCATACCTTAGAATGTGCAATAAAATACCGAACACAAAAACTTACTGATGCAGGGTGGTTTTCTTCCAGGAGCCTTTATACTGAAGGTGACGATTTATATTGTTAAGGCATAGACTCATCCACAATGGCTCTTCATTGCATAGAATATACATGACACTGTATAAAACAAAAACAAAAACAAACCCAAACATAAAAGGAAAAGAATAAGAAGGCATTAAATTATTTTTCAACCACCAATCAACCAATGGCTATGAATCAAGGACACATGAAATGGGCATGTAGGATGTGGACAAGACAAGGACACAACAATCAAGAAACATGTAAATAATAAATACTAGTGAACGCCCAGTGTGATGCACATAATTTACAGTCTCTCCCTACCATCACCTGCGCTTAACTCTAATATAATTTACCTATTAATATGTTAACATGACATTTTTTAAATTTGAAATAGTTTTCAAAGATGATTGGAAATTAAAATTTAAAGTAGTTTTAAAAAGTTATGGGAGTGGTTATATAGGACACCTGGAATAATATGGTTGGAAAGAACTAATTAAATATTTCAAGACTCTAGTAATTAATCATTTGAGGAGAGAAGTCTTCAATGTCTCTCTCCCTTAATTCGATTGTTTTATATATATATAGATAGATTATTGTATTACGTAAAACAAACTAGGTTTCGATTACAAATGTTTGTTGATAATTCAACTTGGAACCGACCTATTCCTAACTTGCAACAGACAACTCTAAATGTGTTTTTTGACCCTCGAATGAAATGCATACCAATCGTCATAGATTCATAGCAAGTAGTAACGAAAAGCTCACGCAGAAATGCGAAGCCAATTGCAATCAATAGAAAGAAAAAAAAGAGAGAGAGAGAGAATAATATTTTAATGTAAACTTGAGTTAAACCATGAGATATGCACATACATTCTGACAATTTTAGCCATAAGACACACTTAGGGATAATTGAGAAACATAAAATAGAAGAGAATTGAAACCTGCTAACGCAAGAGAGGCGAGCGACATCGCGAGGAGTGAGAGAAACCAATATGGAGCATAATATTTGGTCTGGAAGAAGACGTAAGTCTCCGAGAGCGTCCGTTCTTCGATCTTTTGGTACTAATTGGGATTGATAACCCTCCTGATTCACCTCCATTGATAGTGGCCTGTCCGATTCGAGAATTCCCTTGAAATCAGTCACAATTTGATTCCAAGTCTCTCTCTCTCTCTCTCTCTGTATGAGAAAGAAGTTTCAGCGTCGAACTTATGCAACAGCGGCGGCGCCTGAAATTTCTTCGTTTCTTAGGCGCGGTTATACCGTGTTCGCGAACAATCCGCTTTATGTGTTCTTTGGGAGAATTTTAATTTACACCCCAAAAGATTTAAAGATTTATACTTTATACTTTTAAAGATTAATTTTTTTTATATTATAACTTTAAAGATACTCGTTTGTTAACTTTCGTGGTTCATTTTGTCAATTTCAATGAGATAATTTTTAATGAAATAAGTAATAAAAATTAACAGAAATATTACAATACAACACTTTTAAGAATATAAAGTGGAGACTCTTAAATTTTTTAGGTACAAAATATAATTACCCTTTTTCTTTTTTCTCTTTTCTTTTTTGAATTCACAAAATTATATAGTTTTGGATTGTGTGTGTGTGCGCGTGAATTTCTCGGTTTAAATTGGTTACTATGCTTAAAACCAATTTTATAAAATGATACAAAAAATTTATCAACAATATGTATGTTGCTTTTATTAAGTCATATTGCTATCACTCAAAATATAAATCCCAACTTATATGGATGTTCACGACTTTTTCTAAAGAACTAAATCAAGGTGTATTCAGTTCTTTCATACATTCATAGAAAAATAGTCGCTGGTGTGAAATGTTTTTTTTTTTAAAAGCCTTGAATATCCACAAAATTTCAAAGTTGTGTATTTTTGTTGCGAAGAATTACACCCAAACTCCTTCAAATTTGTCCTATAATAATTCAAATCTCCTAACATATAAAATATTACACACAAACTCTCCGAAGTTTGTACTCAACTCTTGCAATCAAATGTTCATTCGTATATATGTTCGTAAATTATATTCAGGTCCCCTAAAGTGTGTACGTGTATAATATTTAGCCCCCTTAAGTTTAAAATGTTATATTTAGACAAAAAAAATACTTTAATCAAATATTAAATATTAAATATTAAATATTTTAAATTTTAAAATAAAAATTTATTTTCTATTGTATCATTTATTGAAATAAAATCAAAAATAAAAAACAAATATTTTCTTAGAAAATTGTAATTAGTATACAATTATACTATTTATTAGAGTTTAATTTTGATATTTACACTATTAAATTACTCCAATTAAAGATAGAATATATTATGTCAATTACAGTTTGATCCCTTTTTTAATTTTTTTAGTTTTATTCCGGTAGATAGCATAATTATATACTAATTATAAATTTTTAAGAAAAATTAAATTTTTATTTTTGATTTTATTTCAATAAATAACATAATAGAACATAAATTTTGGTTGTAAATTTCATGTTCTATTATGAATGACTTAGACTCCTTCTTTAATTTTTTAGTTTTATTTAATAGATAATATAATTGTAAACTAATTACGATTTTTTAATAAAAAATTGACTTTTTATTTTTAATTTTATTTTAATAAACGATACAATAAAACATGAATTTTTATTTTAAAATTTAAAATATTTAATATTCTATATTTGATTGAAATATTTTTGGTCTAAGTATAATATTTTAAATTTGAAGAGTCTAACTATTATATACTTACAAACTTCAAGGAGTCTAAGTATAATTTACTAACAAATAAATAGGCATTTTATATGTGTTACCGGTGTACAAATCTTCAAAAATATGTATGTAATATTTTAAATATTATAAAATTTANTAAAGTGTGTACGTGTATAATATTTAGCCCCCTTAAGTTTAAAATGTTATATTTAGACAAAAAAAATACTTTAATCAAATATTAAATATTAAATATTAAATATTTTAAATTTTAAAATAAAAATTTATTTTCTATTGTATCATTTATTGAAATAAAATCAAAAATNAAATATTAAATATTAAATATTTTAAATTTTAAAATAAAAATTTATTTTCTATTGTATCATTTATTGAAATAAAATCAAAAATAAAAAACAAATATTTTCTTAGAAAATTGTAATTAGTATACAATTATACTATTTATTAGAGTTTAATTTTGATATTTACACTATTAAATTACTCCAATTAAAGATAGAATATATTATGTCAATTACAGTTTGATCCTTTTTTTAATTTTTTTAGTTTTATTCCAGTAGATAGCATAATTATATACTAATTATAAATTTTTAAGAAAAATTAAATTTTTATTTTTGATTTTATTTCAATAAATAACATAATAGAACATAAATTTTGGTTGTAAATTTCATGTTCTATTATGAATGACTTAGACTCCTTCTTTAATTTTTTAGTTTTATTTAATAGATAATATAATTGTAAACTAATTACGATTTTTTAATAAAAAATTGACTTTTTATTTTTAATTTTATTTTAATAAACGATACAATAAAACATGAATTTTTATTTTAAAATTTAAAATATTTAATATTCTATATTTGATTGAAATATTTTTGGTCTAAGTATAATATTTTAAATTTGAAGAGTCTAACTATTATATACTTACAAACTTCAAGGAGTCTAAGTATAATTTACTAACAAATAAATAGGCATTTTATATGTGTTACCGGTGTACAAATCTTCAAAAATATGTATGTAATATTTTAAATATTATAAAATTTAAATAATTAAGTGACAAATCTCAAGAGTCTGGTGTAATTTTTCCTTTTGTTATGATTGTCATCAAAATTGGAAAGCTTGCTTTTGATTGGTTAGGATAAATGTCATCAGCATGTGGGACAAGAAAGAACAATGTGTACGTTTTTGTATTTTTTGATCATTTACCTGGCTTTTACTGTGGTTAACTGTTGGCCTCATTATCACTGCATTCGCCATTGGATTTTAACATCGTTGGTTCGAACTACGTCATCCTCCAAAAACCTTGCTTTACTTGGTCTTGCTTCTCAGCAGATCAACCATATCTATATATAACTGTGCATTCACTCATGTAAGCCATATCTATATAGAAATATCAACAAGTAGTTTGCCCCCAGACCTAAATTCAATAATGTATTCCTCCTCCGTGAGCTGAAAATAATAATTGACCCTCAAATTGCAAGAGCTAAGAGACTGCTCATAAACAGAAGAATGGATGGTAAGAAAAACACAACTTCCTTCTCATTAGAACACATATTCATAGAGCACATACAAGTTCTATAAGTGCAAGCAACAGGTAAGTTCTGACGATTATAAAAACACAATCTTACAAGGTTTCAAGGAGATGGAGGCCAACCATAGCTAGAATCTTCATCAAATCCTCCATAAAACCTCAGCTCCAGACCCCCCAGCCTCTCATCATCATCCCACATTCCATCCAAACTCTCATAGTCAAATAAAGAGTCCGAATAATCTGAGCAATCTTCCCATTCGTGTCTCTCGTAATGGTCCACAACATGAGGCCCTAAAACCTTCAACTTGTGGAGCTTCTCCTTGAGCAATTTGTCATCAAGCTTCACATCCCAACATCCTCTCAAATCCAAAAATTCGAGCTCAGGACAGTTGTAGATAATCTCTAGAGCACTTGTGGTATCGATAAGAAGGTAAGCCATCTCAAGGTGCTTGAGCTTGGGCATGGTGGTTGCAATGGCATGACCCTCGTCATTCTGTGAAAGCTTGCCTTCCAAATCTAATGGATGCATGTTCCGGCGCAACCCTGCAAGAGATTTGCAGTGCTTTCCAATGGCTTCTAAAGCTCCAGCGCCAATTTTACCACAATAGCTCACATCCAAGAATGTGATTGCAGAAAGCTTCCCAGCAACCTGCTCCACTATAGAATTGCTAATGGTGCTTCTCGGCAGTTTCAATGTTTGCAGAGAGTGAGCACTATCAAGAACAAAAAATAGTAACCCATATCACATTTAGATAAATAATGACCCCTTTAGTCTCTAGGACCACTAAAATACCTTTGAGTGCGGTTTCAACTATTGATTTACGTAATTGGAAATAACCAATTAGGTTTACGACGAAACCTAGAAATCAATCACTGATCCAATTTGAGAAACTCTACATGGTACACCTCATCATAAAATTGAAAAGTAACGGCAACAAGTGATTGAGTTTAGTAATTCCTCCTATAAAATTATTGACTCTAGAGATATAGTAATATCGAAAAGACAAAACTGTTTCAATCACCGATAGAACCAGAAGCGTCCCTTCTTTCAAAGAGAGGAGGACGGTTTATTCACATCTCATTTGATGGTTAGAGGCAAATTGAAAACTATGCAATGGTAATTCAAAAGCTTCCTGGGAAAAAATAGAAATGTCTCCTATGTTACCCAGGTCAATTTGATTTTCGTATGAATCATCGGTTTGTGGGTGAATTGAACAAAGCAATCTGACTGGATCACTCAGAATATTCTGAATCCTGAATGGACTAATGAATTGCCTTAGCATCCCCACTTGAGTATCTAAATAGAGTTAGTGGTATCATCTGATTCCTCTGTGAAAGAGTTAAGTGTTCAACACCAAAGAACTCCTAATTTGGGCTATTGACTACACATACATTGTGCCTGAACTAGTCTAACAGAAAATCTATACTCGTCAATGAAACGGGTTATCAGGGGATACTGCAATTCTGCTTACTTCTCAGCAATGAAAGAGAAAATGAGGTCATCTTGGAGGCCAGAAACACAAAGCTTGCGGAGAGATTGGGAGCTTCTAGTGATAAGCATTCGAAGCATTCGATGAATATTATCGCGCTCAGATCGATTGCTCCATTCCTCAATGTCAATCTCTTGCCAGCAATAAGGCCCTGTCACTGCTTTGCCCCAGGATTTGCATACTCTGGGGACCACTGTTAGTACCTCCTGGAGAGAGAGATTGCTGAAGATGAGCCCGAGTGCATCGGGTATTAGTTCATCCCACCAACGAAAATCAGACCCTTCCATCAAAATCTTCCTTCATTGCAGAATATACAAGTGTAAAATACCGTTTCACAGTATATAATAGCAGGGTAGATATTAAAAAATCCATAAACAAGAACATCAAAGGAAGAACATGGAAACCAACGAATCGAAAAATATAGCAAAAGATTAAAATGTACAGTGGAAACCCAGGAATCATTTGCAGAAATAGGGGCCCAAAGAGTAATTATTATCACCAATGGACCATACTGTGAAAAAGGTCGTAGAAATGGAATGCTCAACATTTACACCTTCCTTCTCCAAAAACCCAACATCATAATTTTACTGAAAGTTAATTTGACTTGTAAGGAAGGATTGAAAGAAACTTTTTTTTGGCAAATAATCATCGAAGTTTGAATCTTTGGGATAAAAACAAAGGAAATGTATATAATATTTGAGGGAAACAGATTTTCTCTCAGTAGGAAACACCAATCTGGACTGTTAAACCAGAGAAGTAAAAACGAATCCATCTTTACAAATCAAGCATACCCATTTGAACTAAAGGTAGAAAAATATCATTAAACATGAAAGCAAGTTCAGTAGCTAAAACTATAAGCCATTTAAGTTTTCAGGAAAAATAGAGATTGAAACAGAGCAAAACAATTATCCAAATCCACAGAGCAATATTTAGAGAACTATAAATTAGACACCCAAAACCACTAATCCCAAAGAACTTAACCAAGTGACTACAAATATTTAATAAGTTAAAAAAAAACATAAAATATGAGACTCACAAGAAGCTGCACTTTCGTGTGAAGATGCAAAAACTCACCGAGTTATCCGCCAGAAAGAGTGGGGATAAAGTGAAAGTGTGAAGAGGGAAGGGGAAGGAGAGAGAAAGCCAGAAAATAAAAATTACTAGACCCACCTACCAGCCCACAGGTGTAATACAACCACCACTGCCAAGAAGAACAGGAACAAGAGTAAAAGCTACAAGTCTACAACAAGACGTGAATGAGGGTATAAAGTAGTAGCTTGCCTTTGGGCATGCCAATTAATAAATACTAAAAACTTGAGGGGGATGGGAAGTATGTAAAAAGTCGGTGCTTTTAATTTTAGGCATGTCGTTGAAAGTTCTTAATTTTGTATTGACGTTGGAATTGCATATCTGTCACTTTACAATGGATAAGTGCAGACAAGGACCGATCAAAAGATTTTTTCAGGGAGAAAGAGATATTTTAAAATTGCAGGATTTTTTATTAGGATCACTCTCACACCTGTAACGTTTGTAATAATTTTCTCAATTGTGTATCGATAGAAAAGTAGGGTGGCAAAGCCCCAACCAAGGGAATGGTTATGTCTTCAAGTATCATTGTACAAATCCCAGAATCCATTTTTACTTAAGGCCATGAATGAATCAAGTGGAATAGAATGGAACAATAGCCTATTTCGACACGACTAATTCGATTGCAAAGAGAGTTCATGATTAGTTAGTAATTATTCAAAAACCACGATTTTTTAATTTTTTTTGTTAAAATTTTAACTTGACTCCCAATATTAAACAACTCAAACTTAAACTTATTTCGAACTTTAAAAAATGAGACTCGTATTCAAGGTTATAGTTATCTATGTTTCAATTAAAAGAAGCAATATTGTTTGGGCTCGATTTATTAATTAAATAAGTTTTAAAATTAAGCTCAAATTTAACTCGCTTAATAAATAAATTAAAACTTATTTTTTTATTAAACCAATCGGAAATTATTCAATTGGGTTTTTTTCGACACTGTTCTATGATGTTGACTGAAGTAATTTAAAGTTTGAACTTTGAGCCAAATCACCTGCCTCGAATGCCATCTTTAGCTGACCACAGAGAGAGTGGGTTCNACTGAAGTAATTTAAAGTTTGAACTTTGAGCCAAATCACCTGCCTCGAATGCCATCTTTAGCTGACCACAGAGAGAGTGGGTTCGTTTGAGTAAGTAGGTCATGTATACAATTTTAAAATATAAGAAGGTAAAATGTTTTGGATTCGACTTAACTCGTATAGATAATTTAGCGGTGTGGGATTGGATCTAAACGAATCATAGATTCAAACGTTAGGGATTTAATCTTCGATGGTGTCTGTTGAACTTAACTGACCCTTGTGATTTACTACAGAGCACTTATATTATTTCATGCAATAATTGTGGGCAAGACCAACTCGGTTTGGTTAGCTAAAAAAAGTTGCCGAGGTCAAGAAAAAGTATGATCAATAATTCTGGGCAACTCCCGTAAGGTCTTCATAGTTGGACTTATGTCCCTAAACAAAGGACCCATTTTTTGACTTTTTTGGCTACTCTATAACATGACACACTCTTGCCACATTAGCCTAATCTTTTCTCTTTTTGGTGGTGACAATTTTGTACACAGCATGATTTGAACTCTACATAGAAATAATAGAAGATCAACGATTGATTTAATAGTCACTTCAACTTGTTGTTGGACCATTCGATCACGAGCTTGAACTTCATCAGCCTCTCCCCGGTAAAAATTTAAGACTGTGACCAAAAAAAACACACAAAAATAATAGAATATAATTGAAGATTTTAAAGCAATAACTTAATTGTGATGTGTATAGGTCCGAATTACTTCGAATGCTAATCTTGTGGTTTTCAATTTCAACGGTGGACAGGGGATCCCAATCGATTAATGTCTGATTGGGGTGGCATGATTTGATCACAACCTACATGTTTTCGGGTTTTTAATAATAAATGAGTAGGCCCAAAGATAGACTAATGGATAGTTTGAATATAATTGAGCAAGTGTTTACACCCAAAAATAATGAAATTTGAGGGTGATAAGTGGAGGTAATCTAATAGTTATGAATAATCTGTAAGATTCCATACTTGATAGAATAATGACGAAGGAAGTAAAAATCTCTAAAAATAGAGGGACATGATATCATGAGTCATAAGTTATAGACGGTTCAATGTACGTTTGCACATCGAGAACAAAGATTATGATCACAGTTATGGCCGAAAATAAAGACTTTGAAGGTTGAAGATCATCTCTATAAATAATAAGGGCAAAGCTAAGGAGAAGGGATTTACAATCAAACACAACAAACTCTATACAGAGCTAGACTCGTCCATTATATTGTTAGTTGAGAAATTATTTAAAATACTTAATTCTTAAGGCATAAAAAAGAACTCATAGGTGACCTTACGCCTCACTACAATTGTCTAAATAGTCACGATTTTATAATTTTACATCGATTCAAATAGGCAAGATTACACGTATTTGAATCTTAAATCAAATCAAATTTTGACACGTCCATAATAATAATAAAAAACAAAGCTCCAAACAGTAAGCCCATGAACTAGAACGCCTGTACTTGCGTTGGGCAAATACTTTAGATAATTAGCTCAATTCCCAAACTGAATAAACTCAAATTTAATCTTTACTCTTTTTTCTGCCTTTTTTTTTTCTTCAAAAGTTTTTTCAACCAGCCTAATAATTTGATTAAAATAAAATGTCAGAATCATCAAGAATAATTGAGTTTTAGGACATTCACTCACGTAATCAATCATTTGTGATCCGAATGACAACATCAATCTCCAAAATTGAAAAAAAAATTATCTTTAGAATTATTTTCTCTCCCATCGTTGGAAGGTGGTACTTTACCATGCCTCTGTTTGATGCCTAAAGCCCACCTCACATTCAAAACCTCTCACACGCACCATAGGAAATTCACCATTTTGCCTAACAATCCATCACCACTCTTACCTGCTCAATGTCCGACAAAGGTGATCGTAGAATCGTAGGGGTGACCCTGACCGTTCTCTTTTAATGGTGTTCAAAAGATTGCTAACATGTCTGATAGATGTGTGTATGGGGTCTTTTGAATTTTGGTTACAAGGTTAATGTTTTTTTTGATAGAATTAAATTTCTAATTATTATTATTTTTTTACCATGTTATTATTTTTTTTTGTGAGCATATTACTATTTTTTTAGTGACCATGTTATTGTCTTTGTTGAATATGTTACTATTGTTATTTTTTAAATATTAACATTCAATATTGAAATTTTTTTTTATTGATCATGTTATTATTTTTTTAAATATTTTATTATTTTTATTAAACATGTTACTATTTTTGTTGAACATGTTTCTATTGTTATTTTTTAAAAATATTAATATTGAATGTTACTATTTTTTTTTATGTTTAAATGTTATTATTTTTTTGTGTTTAAATGATATTATTTTTTGTGTTAAATCATAACTTTTTTTTTTGTATTTGAATGTTACTATTTTTTATTTTTAATATATATAGTCCTAACATATATGTGGATATAGATAGATATGAGAAAGAAATTTTTTTAATATTAGTCAAACTCCTAAAATTTAAAAGGTTTTAATTTTTAACTTTACTTTACTTCTAAAGGGAAGTGATAGTCTGATAAAATTGACAAAAAACGGACTTCATAACAAATAAGTTTCCTTAACGAACTTAAGTTCAAACAAGTTCATATAAAGAGACTGGCCTTTAAATTTTCCTAATATAAAATATGATGGGCTTCAATAAGCTAATTCGATGATCTCAAATAAATTCATTAAATGACTATCAATTTCCTTCTCAAAATTATTCACATTATATCGTGTCTTTAACCATAAGTTAATCCTAGTAACTTAAAAGCAAGAAGCATAACGTGTTGGGCTGACCCTTATCTCTCGGAGCATGTGTTGAATGGTCCTGGAGTGAGGGATTGGACCATTTTGCCTAACCAACTCCACCCCCACCTTTGAGTGCAGGGGATTCATAAATGAATCCTATTCTTATCCATGTTTAGTAAATAATAAATATACTTATTGACATAATTTGTTGATCTAATTCACTGTAATTTTTGGATTCACTGTAAATTCCATCAAACATTAGAACTTGGTATTGATCCAATAATTTCTATGAAACCACATCATTATGTCAATAAATTATGTTAGATTTTTAGATTCAAATAGTATTACTCTTATCACTATACATTTATCACATAAATGACCATTTTACCTATTAATCAATTCAATTCATACATATGTTTATTTAAGCAATCCAAACTAAATTAAAGGGGTACAAAATTATTTTACCAATTGAATCTGGTTTGCCGCATTGAAACCCACCGCCCTTGGGTTTGCTGGAGCCAATATTCATGGGTTTAAGCATCCGGGTCAAGTACGGGTTGGGACAGTAGTTCAGGGCTTCAAAATTGCATCAAAACATGAGTTTTGTTGGTCTATTAAACTATTTTCTTTAATCCCGTCATATATAACCCCCTTTTTACCCCTCTACCAAACAGGCCATCAAGCGGTTTGAAAATCCTATCACTATTTTGTTTAACAATAATAATGAAAATGGAGTGGGTTTTAGTCACTTGATTTGTCCTAGACCTTGAATTCACAGGATATTTTGAAGTTGCTTGACTGCCTCTGGTAAGCTGTACCACTGTAGCCGAGTCAGGATACTTTTCCTTTTCCCAGTTAGACGGTGACAAATGGGTCCGATACCAGTCCTTTTATTCCATTTCTTTTGGACAGAGCGTGGTTGGCTACTTTGAGAGACACATCCTCTGTGTGTGTGTGTGAGAGAGAGAGAGAGAGAGATTGGCAATTTTTAGACTGCATCAGATTAGGATTTAGCCACTAGGAGAATAAAATCTTTTATCCTGATTTTAAAAAATGAGATTGTTACGAGGAAAAGGCTCACCATAAACCAACCCGCCTGAATAAAATCAATCTAAATTTCATCGATTATAGCATTGTTGTCATATATATTTTTTTCTAACTAAATACAAATCGAGATTAGGTGGCAAAAAAAAAGAATGGTTTAGTTTGAACTTTGAATCTCTTTTTTCTTTTCACCAATTAAGTGATTTGTTGAGTTATCACAATAGTCGAATGACTAAATGTTGAATCCGTACTATATATTAGAAAAATTAATTTATGAGAGAGTATTTGAAAAATTGTTTCTCTCAAAAAAGTATATTTTCTTCTAATTTTGAATTATTTAATTGATCTCTTCCAATTGAATTCCAACATGTAGCTTATGTAATCATTTTAACTTTTTGATAATTACTTCACATTTAAATTTCTAATCATCTTTTTTAATTATTTTACATGTAAATTTTTATTAAAATATCAATTTAACACATTAATAAGTAGTTTTCTAATAATGTTAAGATGAAATGGGTGGATGGGTACGGGTGGTGGCGAGGTGAGAGTAGGGTTGACAACAACGATAAAAAAATATTGTCTATAATTATTATAACATAATTAAAAATTTGTCATTTATAACATAGTCAAAAATTATATAATTAAAATATTGTTTATAACAGAATCCAACATAATATAATAATTAAAAGTTTGTGTCCTATGTAAATCTAACACAACATCATGTAACATAATATAATATAACATAATATAAATTAACATAAAAAAAAAACATAAAAACACAAAAATTTACATTTTTATAAGTCAAAAACATGAAAAAAAAAAATTAAAAAAATTAAACTATTTTCAAAAAAAAAAATCATTCAATTATATGTAGATTTGTTTTCACAACAACATGTATATATAATAATAATAATAATAATAATAATAATAATAATAATAATAATAATAATAATAATACAAGGCGGGATAAGTGTCGGTCAATCTCCGCCTTCATATCTGCATGGGTTTATATGAGTATTATCGTATGGAATTATACGGGTATCTTCGTATATGTCCACCGTCCAATACGTATGGTTCATCTCCGGTTAAAAAAGAACGGATTTGAATGAATCCCATTTATATCTGATCCACTGTCTTCCCTATATTTGACCAAACCTTGAGAGAAATGAATGTAATTTATCCTAAATTCTAACAGAAAATAAAAATTCAAAGACTTAGTTCCTTTTTATAGGTCTGTACGGCCTTCCTCCTGATTTTGAATATTTCAATTGCTACTATTTAAGCACATCCATACTCCGTATTCCATTCAAGAACTATCTTTGGAAATAAAATTGTAAATAAATGATGTCCAAACGAGTAAACATTGTACAAGTCAAGGCTCAATAAAATAGGTAGGGTAACTTTTCCTTTAGGATCGAACAACTCCCCTTTGGTGCAACGCTCTGGGTTGTTTGTTTGTACAATTTTTGATACCCAAAAGAACTTCTGAATTTATTTATATAAAAAAAAAAATAGTTTACGATATAGAAGAGATTAATCATAGGTAAGATAATAAAAGGTACAAGAACATTGAATTAGAAAAAAAGAATGAATTAAATTCTTTGTGTAATCGTATACATTGTTCTAATTGTCTCGCTCTAAAAATTCTTGAGAACTACTAGCTAGTAATAACTACAACAAAATCAAATCAAAGTGGAACATGATTGGGTGGAAGGATCAAACAAAGCAGGAAGCAAGTATTTCCTCCCATTAGCACCATGCGCATTGTAGCTGGCACCAGATGTAGGGTCGACCAACAAGTCCCCAGCATAGCCTGGGTAGGCTCCCTTACCATAAATCCCAGGACAAGCCGAGGCAGCCTCTAGTGGCGCACCAGCCGGTCCCTGATAGTAGCCATTTCTAAATGGGTTTGTGACCGCCCCAGCCAAAAGGCTAGCCAAAGTTATCACCATTCCGGCGGAACCTATGTCACCGTTGGGTGCAACCAAGGGTGGGCTCTGTGGTCCGTACAGGGGTTGGTGGAATGGCCAGGCACAGAAACCAGGACACTGAATCTCCGAGTTACCAACCCAGATGTAGGCAAACTTGTGATTCTTGCCCTCAACAATGGCAGTTTTGGAAGAAAGAGATCCGTGGGATCCACACCTACTCGAACAAAACCCATCAACTACCACGTCAGATGAAGNAAGAATATCGGAGTTTCAATGTTTTGATATATTTTCACCAATGTTTCGGAGACAAAATTTCAAATTCTTTAAGTTTCTATTCCATTTCTGAAATGTATTCGAAACGTTTACGTTTTTGAGCTGGCCGAAACAAAAACAAAATTTTGATTGTTGGACATGGTAGAATTTATAATATGGATTTGCAGCCCAAAATGAACAAAATTTGGTGCCTCGGATTGTTTCCTTCAAGAAGTATAAGAGAGAACACGATGACACATTCTAGACGAATGGAGGGGAAATGAAGTAAACAGAAGAATGTACATTTCAGTCAAGAATGTACTTACATAACTCGTGTGCCTCTAGAAGTACTGAAGTAAAGTTTACCAAATTTTTTTTTTTTNACCATTCCGGCGGAACCTATGTCACCGTTGGGTGCAACCAAGGGTGGGCTCTGTGGTCCGTACAGGGGTTGGTGGAATGGCCAGGCACAGAAACCAGGACACTGAGTCTCCGAGTTACCAACCCAGATGTAGGCAAACTTGTGATTCTTGCCCTCAACAATGGCAGTTTTGGAAGAAAGAGACCCGTGGGATCCACACCTACTCGAACAAAACCCATCAACTACCACGTCAGATGAAGTCAATACCACATTGATGGCGTTGCCCTGATCACCTATGGCTGCCAACCGTTCGATTTGTTGATTGGTGAGTGATTTGCCCAGAGAGTAATTTTCATCAAGGACTTGATTCCCCATGGAGAGCTGGACTGAAGATGGGTTCTTGGAGTTGATCAGGCTATAGTATTTCTCGGTGGCTTTCCACCACTCGGCGACGGAGGGTTGGCTCTGAGACGACGTAGATGACAATGAGGCGATGAAATCGGAGATAATGGCTCTCTGGGAAGGCTTGAAATTGCCGTACCATATGACATTGATGGAGATTTGACCGGTGAGAAGAGGACCATTGTGGTATTGGAAAAGTTGGGTTTGCTGATCTTGGGTTGACTGAGTGAGCCTCCTCGCTGCCAAGGCGAGGTTAAGCAACAATGCAAATTGGAAGATTGGCAGAAGCATTTTGACAAATATATAAGAGGCCATTTTGAAAATTTNAATGCAAATTGGAAGATTGGCAGAAGCATTTTGACAAATATATAAGAGGCCATTTTGGATATAAAAATTTTGGTTCTATAGAAGGTGATAGATTGGTCTGGAAAGTTTAGAGTGAAGAGAATAAGAGGTGGGGAGGTTGTTTATATACTAGATGATGAGGAGAGAGGGAAGCATCAAGGAAAGAGGGGAAAAAAGTGAATCTATTGAAGTCTGAGTGAAATGCCAGCTTATAACCTGTTGTTTTTTAAAGGTTTGATGCGTCTGCTTGTTTATATTTCCAACTGGCCGGTGACCATTGACTAGAAATAAACAACCTGGGCCCTGACGCTCTCTGGCCAGTGCACATTTGAGGGGGGACAATATGAAATGAGAGCGACGCAACTCATTGTCAGTCCTAGTGCTGAGGTTCCCCTTATCCTCAACAGCTGGGCTCTTTCGCGGAAAAGGAATGCCCGCCGACCCAACTTTAACTATAAGAGCAACTTATTTAAAAATTTTATTTGAGAAATTAATGATTTATATTTAATGTAATAATTGAATTAATTGTGAATTTTAATATTAAATGGACTCCACAACAAATTCAATAATTGTACATCATTAAATCCCTAAATAAAATTTTCAAATTAGATCAAAATAACATTTTCTTTTTTATAATCAATGCACTGTATCGATACTTGGGGAACAAGGTCCCAACCTGTGTTCGACCTTTAATTCGTTCCAGTTCATGGCGTTAGCAACTTAGATGGTCTCGTGATGTAACACTTTAGGTTCCAATATCGGAAGGCACCAATGTTATTAGAACATAGGGATATAGTTTGAGGAAATAATAAGTTGTTATCAATAGATTAGTAGTAAAATATATTTAATGATAAACTTTATTACAATATTAAATGCATTTTACTGTCAATTTATTAGTGATAACTTATTTTGTCACCAACTTATATTCTAATAACATTTCTTTTTGGTACGTTATCTTCACTTTTATTCAATAAAAATGGGTCACGCATAAAATTTTCTTATTATATTATTTTTATTATTTTACTGTTTTTTAATTAATAATATTAAATCATCCAAATCAAAATCAATAATTGAGTCAAATTTTGGCACGATATCATAGTCTTATCCCCCACTTCATATGAAAACCCAAAATTTTCACGTTGTTTTATCCTTGAGTTTTCCCTATAAATTATATCCTAACAAAAAAATATTTTGAGCATAACAAAATATGGTGTTAGAGAATGACTTGCAATCAAGTTAATGACCCAGCATTGAAAGGAGACTCAAAAAGATGTAATAGTAAAATTTTAAAATAACATTGAAAATGTTAGGTATTGTTTGGTATATTTTTGGATTGTGGACGTGCTAAAGTTTGATTGAACTTAATATCCAAGACGTAAAACCTTTATTTAATTGAATCAGTGTAAAGTTCTAAAAATTGTCACTGTTCGGATAATTATAGTGAGACATAAGATTATCTTTGAGTTCTTTTCAACACCTTAGAGTTAAAGGACTTTAAATATTTTTTTAACTAACTATGTAATTGATGAAATGTAAAAAAAACCACTGAAATACAAAGTAGCAAGTAAACTAAATTCAAAAGATGATTCAAGTACCGTATTTAATTAGCATTAAATGAAATGAATAAAAGATCACCACAATGATGGGTTATAAGAAAAATAAAGTTATTCAAAAACAAGAATATGTGAGTATAAGGTAGATTGACTATGTGTAAAGTTTATTGTTTTTAATCGTGGATCTCTTCTTTGTGGCCTGACTTCTGTTATTTATAGGGATGATTTTTAACCGTTGAAACTATCTTTTCTAGCTATTACTGTGATTATGACCTTTATCCTCGACATGTGTAGACGTGCGCTGAGCCGTCTTCAATTGACGGCTCATGGTGACATTTCTCCCCAATTCTCGAGANAGCGAGTGACTAATCCCTTTAGAAGCCTATACAAAATAGAGGTTGGGAGCCATTCCAGAAGTTGGATTTTGATTACTGGCATAGTTGAAAACGGGACATTGGCATTGGCAATTAGTTAATTTGGAGTTTAACTATGATAACCAATAACTGTGCAGCAAAGAGAATTGGAGTACAATGACAATTAGCACTTATAAAATAGTAAGGAAAATACCAATAATAATTGTCAGTAAGGTTCTAAAGAACAAAAAAATAAAAGACGATACAAGCACAGATTACAATAGTTTGAGCATTACCTTGACATCAGGCAACCCAATAACACAAGCACATTCAACAACTTCGCCCCCCCTACATTCTGGAAAAACAGTATGCGAATTGTTTTTAGCTTAACGACAGTGAAATAACAGAGAACTTTCCAGGAAAAACCAGAAAAGAACCACACTGAAGATGATATATGACAACCCAAGAAAGGGCATCAACTACCTAAAAGTTTCATTGCTGCGGAGAGGGTCCCTCCTGTAGCAACTAAATCATCAATTACCACTGCCCGTTCCCCATGCTGAATAGCATCAATATGCATCTCGAGACAATCAGTACCATACTCTAGCTCATAAGCTTGTGATACTACTTTAGCTGCAAATTCAGCATTTTTAAAGATCCAGGATAAAATTTAGAACAAAGATAATAGAGAAGCATATATCTTCACGAAATGCAAGGGAAATAAATAGTAAGAAGCTCTGTTTTCCAAAACGTAATTCCAGAGGCTGAGAATGGACAGATTCCGGAGCAAAGATATGTATTTCTTTGTGCATGTTCAGATGCTCACACATCATAGTTTGCCTGTGATTGTGAGGTTGGGAGACAAGGAGAGGAAAAGAGACTTTAATCTGCCAAATTTTTTTTATAAAAGAAAATAATTACTACTAAATAGTAAGAAACACGGACACGGATACGACACAAACAAGTAACCCATGTTTATTGTTTAATAGCGGTCCAAAAAAGTGTCAAGCAGGCTGCCAAAAGAAGTGTCCTACCTAAGAAGTGCCGGGCAAGCTGCCAAAGAAGTGAACACATGTCCGAAATTAAATTTTATCATTTAATTATAAACACGGATAAAAAAGTATCGGACACGTTGATAAGAGTGTTCAACAAGTGTCGGTGTCCAAGAAGGGTCCAAAACAGATACGAAGTCTTCTTTAGAGTGTACATGTTTCATAGACTATATATAAGTAACTATATTACAAAGTCAACACATATTTTGTTTTTTCTAGTACTACATACATTTATCTTTAATAGTATTGATACTACTAAAAGTGCAACGCCTTTACCAGTACTTTCCAATTATGTTTTCTCTGCTCAAATCTTGCTCTTTTTTTTACTTTTTTGAATTCAGTTTCACTTAACTCCAACAAAAAACTTTGACCTCTAGTGGTCTTAATATGAGCTAAACCTCTGGGCATTGCTATGTATGGAAACAACATGAGCTTCTAGAAGGATCTTCATAGAAATATCTCGAAACTGACCTTACTTGAACGAATCAATATGACAAATTAAATTGGATACCAGAAAATTGAGGCCTCAAAAATANGAAGTGCTGTTTCTTTAAGAAGAAAAAAAATCGTTATATCTTGGGAGACAACTGTTCATCCACCTTAAGCACCAAAATGGAGTAAATCTGTCTTAAGGAAATTATGTTTCACAAGCTCGAATTGAAGTTCTGATTTTTCTTATTTATTGTTCATGTGGATCTACATCCCTTTGAGTACACCGTTTTTAATTTTTACACATTTTGTTTAGTTTAGTGCATAAGTTATGTTTTATACAATTTAATATAATCTAATTATATACACATTTTTTAACGGTTACCTCCACCAATAGGCTCCCTAAAGACGAACTTTGATTGGGCAGTTTTTTGAATCTGAAGGAGCTATTGGGGTAGGAGTGGTTAAAAGAGCAAGCATGTTCAAGAAAATTATCTCCCTTAGTGATGTGCAATCGGCAGAGGTCCTTGTCGTGAGAGAAGCAATCTATTTCGCTAGACAATGAGTTAATAACGAGATTATTTTGGAAGGCAACTCAGTTAATGTGATGAAGATGATATCAGATGTCAAATATGAGTTTGAGCCTCTAATCCTGTTTTAGCAGAGTATTTCAAGTGATTTAAACTACATTAATGTGTCTACTGTAAGATGTTTAAGTAATAAGTTAGCTCATAGATTAGCGTATCTTAAACAAGTTAGCTCATAGATTAGCAAGATACGCGATTTCAAATTCCATTTTTCATTCCTGTTTTTTAAAATTGATCATGATAATGCCTTATTTACTTGAAAATTTTATAGCTAAAGGACACAAGAACAGTTAATAAACAACATGAATGAATTGAATTTTCTTATATAAATGTATACAATTTCCTAGCTTTTGTTACTTTACAAAGAATTTTAAAAAATATTATCTATAATCCCCCACAAGCTCAAATCAGAGTGGAACATGATTGGGTCGATGGATCAAACAAAGCAGGCATCAAATACTTCCTCCCATTAGCACCATTCGCATTGTAGCTGGCACCAGTGGTAGGGTCGACCAACAAGTCCCCAGCATAGCCTGGGTAGGCTCCCTTAGCATAAACCCCAGGACAAGCCGAGGCAGCCTCTAGTGGTGCACCAGCTGGTCCCTGATAATAGCCATTTCCAAATGGGTTCGTGACCGTCCCAGCCAAAAGGCTAGCCAAGGTTATCACCATTCCGGCGGAACCTATATCGCCGTTGGGTGCAACCAAGGGAGGGCTCTGTGGTCCGTAGATGGGTTGGTGAAATGGCCAGGCACAGAAACCAGGACACTGAGTCTCCGAGTTACCAACCCAAATGTAGGCAAACTTGTGATTCTTGCCCTCAACAACGGCAGTTTTGGAAGAAAGAGACCCGTGAGACCCACATCTACTCGAACAAAACCCATCCACTACCACGTCAGATGAAGTCAAGACCACACTGATGGCGTTGACCTGATCACCTGTGGCAGCCAACCGTTCGATTTGTTGATTGGTGAGTGATTTGCCCAGAGAGTAATTTTCGTCAAGGACTTGATTCCCCATGGAGAGCTGGACTGAAGATGGGTTCTTGGAGTTGATCAGGCTATAGTATTTCTCGGTGGCTTTCCACCACTCGGCGACAGAGGGTTGGCTCTGAGACGACGGAGATGACAGTGAGGCGATGAAATCGGAGATAATGGCTCTCTGGGAAGGGTTGAAATTGCCGTACCATATGACATTGATGGACATTTGACCGGTGAGAAGAGGACCATTGTGGTATTGGAAGAGTTGGGCTTGCTGATCTTGGGTTGACTGAGTGAGCCTCCTCGCTGCCAAGGCGAGGTTAAGCAACAATGCAAATTGGAAGATTGGAAGAAGCAATTTGACAAACAAATAGGAGGCCATTTTGGATATAAAAATTTTGGTTCTATAGAAGGTGATAGATTGGTATGTGAGGTTTAGAGTGGAGAGACCAACTGGTGGGGAGGTTGTTTATATACTAGCTGATGAGGAGAGAGAGAAGCATCAAGGAAAGAGGGGAGAAAAGTGAATCTAATGAAGTGCGAGTGAAATGCCAGCTTATAGCGTGTTGTTTTTAAAGGTTTTGTGGGTCTGCTTGTTTGTATTTCCAACTGGCCGGTGACCATTGACTAGAAATAAACAACCTTGGGGCTCTCTGGCCAGTGCACATTTGAGGAGGGGAAAATTCTAAGTAGCTGTAGTTTTGGGAATTCTTTAGACTTTACAAATTTGATGCAACTTAATTAATACTACTAATAAAAAGTACTTTAAATGAAAATTTTTTGATTCACTATTTTACCCTTGCCTTATAAAAAATTTTAAATATCACAATATCCTTCCATAATTAAATATTTAAATTACAATGAAAAAATTTCATCTTTACTAATAATAAAAAATAAAACTTTTGTCTTAGCATGAAAAAGTTTTGATTTAGTATTTTACTCTTATAAAATTTTTTAAATAATACACTTTCATTCCGTAGTTGAATATCTAAATTTTCATCATATACTTATGTGTTTAAATCTTCAAATTATCCCTAACATTTTTTTTAATTTTCTATGTACTATGTATAAATATCAGTATCAATGAAACTTTTTAATTGACTACGTCACCATTAACAAATATATACATCACTATAGTTTTCAATAAGACGTTCAAAAAAATATTAAAAATTTCATCAATTAAATATTACTCACTTTAAATATCGTGATAATATTATTCTTACATATGTATATTTTTTTTATCCAAAATTTCAACCATTTCATTTTTAAGATAAAAAATAATCTTTTATGTAATTTTTTTTTGAATAATTTATGTTAAATCAACATTATTCTTCAATTATAGTAAAATTTTCTTATTTTATTAAGAGTTTTTATAAAAAAAAAAATTATAGCATATTTTTAAGAAAAACTTGAATTTTAGAATTTTAGTATTATTTTAAAATATATATTATAGAATAGTGTATTATATTTTAGAATTTTATAGTATTTTTAGTCCCTGAAATATGCATGTTTTGTAAGGTTCTTCTTTATTGTATCAATTTTATTAATTTGGTTCATAAAGTGTTTAAATAATACTTAAATGATCTACACATAAAAAATCTGTTAAGCTTTTCATAGAAGTGATCACGTGCTTGTCACGTAATACTATCGGACGAAATGACACGTGATCACTTCTGTCAAAAAACTTAATAGATCCTCTAGAATTGAATATTTTAGAAATCAATTTGATAAAATTTATATATTGAAGAGTAAACTAACAAAAAATGTATACTTTAGAGACCAAAAATATTATTAACTCTATATTTTATCCCTACTAGTTGATGCCTACGTTGCACGTAGACCATTGATAGAAATAATTATTCTAACATAATTTTCGACATAATCATGCATGATAATACTTAAAAATCATGCAAACCTCCACTACATTAAATACTTTAATTGTTTCTTTTGTTGTACATAATATTTTTACACATTTTCTAAACGCTTTCCCTAAACAAACAAGAAAACTCACTCTACACTTACCTGGCCAGCTCTTCTAGAAAATTGTTCTTCCTCTTGTTATTTTACAAGGAAGAGAATCATACACACTTTCATAAGTATAAATAAATATCTTCAGATAATAGGAATCCTAACTACCACATTTATCCTCTTACACTTCTAAATAGAGAAGCAATTGTAACTCTTTTTATATCTAAGCACATTTAGAATGGTTTGTTACTTCTACGAATCTATGGAAATTATTTACCAACATTGTCTCCCATCGGCCACATTTAGAAGATTGATGAAAACCATATACGTGCTGTTTAATTGCTCATTTTCATGACTTTGAATTTGGGTGTCTTTTACTACAAATTGTGTATATGCACAACTCCTTCTAATTTCTCAATCATATACCTATGAGCTCTAGAGTGGCCTCAACAATAACCTATGAACTCTAGAGTAGCCTCAACAGTGATGTGTTTGTCTAAACACCAATGTTATTGTTTTTTTTTTTTTTGGTTTTTACTTTCAAATTTCATTTTCAAGTTATCATGCGAGCAAAAACATCAGAAACGATTCAATGTTGAACAAGGTAGAGCTTTAAACAAAATGATCCCCACAAGTTTTTTTCACAAGCATTACACCACTAAAGCTACAGAAAAATGATATAAGGAACTCATCTGACATACTGCAAACTCTCGGTATGCAGAATGAACAAATTAAATTGACAAATTACACGTTGTCATTCCGTCCGTTCCGTAACCTCAATTATTGTCATTCCATCTGTGTTGCAAAGTTGAATACTGCGGGGCAAGGGTTGTTGATATTATCCGCTTATTCTATCTATTTGGGCATGAAATAATGCTTGTTTTGTATTTCCGTGTTGTGTATCAGGCATCAATTTTTAAGTGCTAGTCTGGAAGTGGAAATACCATCCATCGCCATATTTGTTTTGACCCTTTTATGTATCTTGTATCTGTTGTAGATTGTATTGAGGGAAATTTGATTAATCAAAGAACATTGTAAGCATAAAAAGTCCTGCTGGATAATACATATAGAGATCGAGGAAATGAGTTTTAAGGTGCGATAAAAAAAAAAGTACCTACTCAAGAAAAAATAGATGCTGTAATTATTTAAGAAAAAATAAAAACTCAATTGTAGCAAGCATATACCTAGGCCATGCAACAAACATAAAGCTGTGGATGATTAGAAATATACCAATACCAATATACAATGAGACCAATAAAGTAGAAATACTCATTTCTAGTAATTTTCATCCTCATTAGGAATTGCCACAGTAGAGCAAAAAGTAATCAAAATCCAAAGTTGTCGCTATATCTTGTAGGGAGTCAGTTGAATACCACATATAAACTGAAGAGAAAAATAAAAATGGGTGGAGAGAGTTGCATTGTAGGGGCAGAGAAAGAGGCAAATATTTATTATGAAGTATGACGGTCTCAAAGCATCTCATAGCATGCACTTTCATTAGAATGAATGATAAGCTACGTGGAAGAGCGAAGGGCTACCAAATACAAGTTTTAAAACATTTATTGGTATTGATTGAGAAATGAAAAATGGGAAATAGAAGAGCCACCAAAAACTAAATCCAACCGGTTGGAAGTGGAAAAGTAAGGAGTGTATTGAGCGAAAGGAAATATGATTCATTGAAGTCTTTAATACTCCTTTCGTTCTTAAATATCTGTGGTTTAAAATTTTTGTATAGGAATTAAGGAAGTTATTAAATAGCTCTAATATGAGTAAAAAATAATTGTACAAAACTAAAATACTCGGAGGGAAAAGAATATGAAAGACACTTACCCTACACTTAATTTATTAAACATTTATTAGAAAACATAGATAAGGGTAAATTTAGAAAAAAAAATATTAATTATGTTTTGGTTTCATTAAACGACAGATATTGTAAAACAAAAAAAATGATATAAAACGACAGATATTTAAGAACGGAGGGAATAGTTAACTCTTTCTTTCTCCTTAACTCACGGGTAGCAATTAAATTTTCACAATGATAATTCATTATTCTAAAAACTTATTGGAAGCTGGTGAGAAAATGTAGGGAGAGAAGGAGAGTGACCACACCTTTGAAAGAAATAGATGTACAGTACAATGGACAAATCAGTGCTATANACGGAGAGTGACCGCACCTTTGAAAGAAATAAATGTACAGTACAATGGACAAATCAGTGCTATACATTTATTCATGTGAATGATAATTTAAATATTTAAGAAATGTTAGAGGGCAATTACGGTAATCAAAAGTTTTTTTGGCTTATTAGTCTTTTAAAAGTAGTATAGATTGACCAAACTAATATTTAATTATAGTAAGTATTGATTAAAATATTAATAATTATTTTTATTTTATTTAATAAATTATATATTGAAATTTAATTAGATTTCAAATGAATTATTTTTTTTTCTTATAATTAGAACAACGAATTACTGAGAACATATATTATTTTTCGAATTCTATAATATAATATGAGCAATAAAAATATAATTTTAATAAAATTTAATGTAGGTACACACACACTTAATATTTTTATATACAAAAATTATTTATGTGCAACGTACGTGGTGCATTGCTAACACCGATAAACATGTAAATACGATCAATTAATCAAAGANTTATTAATATTTTTATATACGAAAATTATTTATGTGTAATGTACGTGGTGCATTGCTAACACCGATAAACATGTAAATACGATCAATTAATCAAAGAAATGGTCCACTTAAATTTGATAAAGCATCACATGAACTCCTAAATAAGACTTACATACAGTAGTAATTTGATATGATATAAATCCAGTTCTACTCATTTATAAATAAATTAACCACAGGTTGAAATTTTTTAAAAATGTGAAATGAGAGCAACAACACCGATTCGAACCCGGTTGGGCCCTTTTATCTTTCCATTTTTAACCCCAAGGGGTTAGCCTAATGGTTCAAGGGTCATTTGGTAAGTACCTTAACTTGGTACCGGTCAAGGGTTCGAAACTTACTACGTGCAAACACTTCTTGGAGTCACTGGTCCTAGATAGAGATGGCAGTGGACAGGGGAAAAGTGAGGATTTGTCCAAACTAGTCTCGTTTGGACCGAGGATGAACTATATGTATTGGACGGTGGACGTATACGGAGATATCCGTATAAACCCGTGCGGGGATGAAGGCGGGGATGTACTTACCCTTATTTCCACCCTGCCCCGCCCCGTCCCTGTTACCCGTTTTATATATATATATATATATACCCAGTAAAAAAACCCAAGACCTAATCTCTTCTTCTCTTCTCCAATAAACAATTGAACGCCACCCCCCTCTCTCAGGACACACATGAACATCGAGACCACAAACCAGCTTAGTTCCTCAAAATTCCAAACTGCCTGTGACTATTAGTGTAGCCCCCCTCTCTCTGCTTCTCCTCTCAGTCTCAGTAGATCGA